CTGGGCTGCTACCTGCAAGGCCAGGGGTTCAAACCCACTAGTTGCTCTGCAGGAGAAAAGACGAGGCTGCCTGCTCCCAGGGACAGTTCTACTCTCTCCCACAGGGTCATTCTGGACTGGAATCATCTCAAGGGCAGTGGGTTGTTTTTGGTATTTTTTTGGGGGGGCAGCCCACCTACAGGAATAACAGAGGAGGAAAGCAGGGCTGGGGTGAGGAGAGGCGAGGACAAGCCTGCCCCTAGGGTCCAGCCAGGGCTGGTGGGCAGGCCAGGACCCTGCCTGAACACACGGCTTACTGGGGCCGGTGCCAACTCAAGGGGAAAGGCCTGGCCTCTGTGAGGTTGACGGCCAGTGGAAACATTCCCCACTGTGGAAACAGACCCCCACTGTTCTCTAACCCCGAGATAGGTTCATTTCACCCCAGGGAAGAAAGGCAGGGCAGGGATGCAGCCACAGCCCCGGGCTTCTATAAAGACGCTGGGATTCTCATCCCATGCCTCAGGGGGATGAGCTGCGGGGGCAGAGCTTGTGTCTCTCCCCATCCGTCTTGCTCTGCCCACCCCTATCTAAGGGGGAGGGGGAGGAGGAAACTGCCCACCACCCTACAGACTCTTGGCGACCCTATAGGGCAGAGGGGAACTGCCCACAGGTTTCCGGGGCTGTGCATCCTTACTGAGGCAGGTGGTTATATCTTTCTCCTGCAGAGGGGCTGGTGGGTTCGAACTGACCACCTCTGGGTTGGCAGCTGAGAGCTTAACCTCTGGGCCACCAGGACTCCTTACCCAGTGGCTGCCCTGTTGAGGTGCCTGGGCTCCTGCTTCTGCTTCCTGGTGGACAAGTCATCAGTAGAGATCGGGAGGTGGCTTCTTTCTGGGAGCTGAGATGCAGGGTCCCCCAGGAGGGTCCCTGGTACTTCCTGTGGACATGTGCGCACCGCAACCTGGTCTAACCTGGCCCTGCGTGGTGCCAACAGGCACTTGGCTACTGAGAGGTGGGTTGTTTGAATCCACCCATCAGTGCCTCCACAGTACTGAGGACCCGATGGCGCGGTTCCGATTGGAAACACCTGGGGTGGCCATGGGCTGTAGCCAACCTGACAGCAGCTGGTTTCTGGTTTTTCTAGAGAGGGCTGGATGAGTCCTGGTGGCACGGCGGTGAAGCGCTCGGCCGCGAGCCCAACATTTGGTGGTTTGCCCAGGAGAACGATAAAGCAGAGTGCTTCTGTAACGGTGACCACCTGGGGACCCCGTGGGGCAGTTTCTACTCTGTCCTAGCCGGTTGCTAGACTCGGCGGAAAAGCCACTATTTTTTTTTTTAACGAAGCAGCTCTGTTCCTAAACACATGGGCGGGGCTATCCTGAGTTGGAATGATTTACCCAGGAGGCCTCCTTGGGGAGGGGGGGGGGGGGCAGGCAGGAGGGGGCATCTCTGCGCTCCCAGCTGCTTGGATCTGTAAGAGCAGAGAGACAAAGTCACACCACAGGGGTGGTGTGACCCACCACAGAAAACTGCCCAGGGCAGAGGTGACCAAGGGGCCAAGCCCAAGGCCCAGCAGACAGCGGGGGTGGGTTACACGAAGATGGGGCAGGGGGAGAGGAGAGCTCAGGCCCAATTCGGATCTGTCCACCGTACCCAGACGAGCTTGTCAGACCCAGGGAGTCCTTTTGCGCTGCCAGGCAAGTGATGGGGCTATGAACGGAAAGGTTGGCAGTGCCAACCCGCCAGCCTTCGGGAGAGAGATGAGGCTCTGTAGATTTAGAGCCTCAGAAACCCCCTGTAGGGTCGCAGTGACTCGGAATCGATCCGATGGCAGCAGGCTTGGTTTTTCTATGGTTGGCTGCTGGCCTAGAACCTTCCCCAGGGCCAGCCAGGGTCTCCAGATGCAGCTCACCTCCTGCCCTCACCAGGCCTCCGAGGCTGCGGAGGGCTAATTCTAAACCCGGAGCGAAGAGGCACTGCCCGGCCTGGCGCCTCCACACACGCTCTGTCTGAGTGCCATGGTTCACCTAGCTCTCCTGCCCCAAATGAGACGCGTGAACTTGATCTCTCCTGGTTGCCTCCTATTGGGAGAAGAATAATTCCGTCACGCTAATTGGCTGCGGGCCAGAACATGAGGAAGCTGGGCTGTGATGAAAGGACTGTTTCAAAATGAGGCCCAGTTAATCCAGCCATCCCTCCAACTGCCACTTTAAGTAAAAAGAAGGTGGTCCACCTCCCGCGGGCATACACTGTTCCCGCATCTCAGGCACACGCAGGCCCCTTTCAGGAAATGACATTGGCACATGAAAGTCTGAGACAGAAGGAGCCCTCTGCAGACTAAGAACGTTCTAGTCTGGCCTCAGGAGCCCTGGTGGTGTAGTGGTCATGCGACCCGAGAGGTCAGCAGTTTGAAACCACCAGCCGCTCTGCGGGAGAAAGACAGGGCTTTCTACTCCCGTGAAGAGTTGACAGTCTTGGAAACCCACAAAGGCAGTTCTACCCTGTGCCATAGGGTGGCTGAGTCGCCGTCGACTTGCCGGCAGTGGGTTTGGGTTTGGGGGGGTCTATCCTCCAATGGCGACTGTGGTCGTCCTGTAACCTCACACGGACTCCCTGAGGAAGAGGCGAACGGTGAGGACCAGTTCTCGGGAAGCTTCCCCAGAGTCCAGGGACCTGGATGCCTGGAAAGGTGGGCTGGGGAGATGGGGGACGTTGTCATCAGGGGCAGTGGGGCCTGTGCCTTGTGGCTGAAACGACTCCATGTATGCTGTTGTTGTTTTTTCTAGACTAAACATGGACACTGGCTAGGAGCAGAGGTTAGGATTTGACCTGGGAGACCAGAAGACAGTTATATTGTTGCCCAGGCTTTGATGCCAACAGTAAGGACCTACTGCAGGGTAAAGATGCATGCCCACCCCTAATCACTTGGTGATGCAGCAGTTAAGCACTCGGTTGTTAACCGAAAGGCTGGTGGTTCAAGCCCAGCAGCCACCCTGTAGGAGGAAGATGAGGCAGTCTGCTGTCGTAAAGATGTGCAGCAGGTCTACTCTGCCCCAAAGGGTCGCTTATGAGCCGGCATTGACAATGGGTTCGGAGGTTTGGGGTCTCCAAAGATGAGCAGCCCGGGTAGATGGCGGAGCTGGGCATGGGGAGAGTGGGGAGGCAGGGAAGTTTGGGTGACTTATTGGTCACCAGCCTAGGATCACGTGACCACGCCAGGGCTCCATTTTCTGGGAAATGCTCACATAGCTGAGACAGGAGCCCTTAGGATCCTGCATGCACCTATAAAGTGGGGAGAAGGGGGTTCCGGGGAATGGTATCATTTGGGCTTAGGGTGGCCCCAGGGGTTTGGGGACTCTCTTGCATCTAAACTTTAGCCCGAGAGAACTCCCAGCCCCCTCATCTCCCTCTCAGCTAACTGCTTCGGGAAATCCTGCTTGGCCACACTTGGAAGGTTCGGAGCCCAATAATCAGGTCGGGAAACAGAAAGAGAAGCTGGACAGGTGCAGGTGCTAATACTGATGTGGAGTCAGCGTGGAAGCCTGGCCCGTGAACAAGGAACTCGGCCGGATGCAACCCTGGACACTTCCTCCTGTGGGAATGCCGAGGCCTTCAGGAACACAGTCCCAAGTCCCAGCCTGGGCCACCATCCTTGTGGCTCAGATGGAAGCCCATACTCGGACCATCACCAAGGACGGCCGTCCAGCGGCGGCGGGCTCCAAAGTGCCCCGCCTCCCAGTCATCTCGGCCCGCCGCCGTCTGAAACCATCTGTGCAAATAGCCCAATATTCAAAGTGCATCGGATCTGAGAAGAGAAGTACAATTTTTTTTGCCATAGAAACATTAAAAAAATAAAATAAAAGCTCTCTAGAAAACTAGTTGTGCTTTCTTGTCACAAACCCACGAGTGGTTCCGGGTTCATCCATCTTTTTAATATAGATCACAGAACTCCCTGTCACGGGAGATGGTTGGAGACGTCTGTCTCCTTTGGGATCCAGCCCCTCCTCGGCCAACTCTAAGGTTCAAGGAGCTTTAGCACTTCAGCTTCCAAGGGATGAGTCTCTGCTTGCCTTAGCCTCGTGCCTGCCTGCAGCTAACCAGAGAGACGGTGTTGCTTCTCAGGAACTCTCTCCCCCGGTCACCAGCCGTGTCCTTCCCACACGCATGCTCCGGGTCAGCAGGCATATAAATAAAGGGGTATTTCAATGGGTGGTCTTGAGACTAGCACATTAAGATAGAAGCGAAGAATTGCGCTGCTGCCGTGCCTCCCAGAAGGGTCTGGAATGTGTTGCTGTCAACGTTACCCCCCCACGTCACCCCCTTGCGTCTCCCAGTTAGCACTTTTGGAGAAGTCTCCCTTCCGCCCGTCTCTAGATCCCAAACCCAACATCTGAGTGCCAGCGGGGGGTGAGGGGTGGTGTCGATTACAGAGAGATGCATTTTCTACAAGCGTCCTCTTCTGCATTCCCGCTGGGGACCTGGGTGGAATGCTATCTTTTCAAGTATGATGAGCGAGATGTTTGAGTTGGACCATCTCACCGCTCAGTCTCGGAACGCCTCCAGACAGGCGGTCACAAGGTTTGAGAGCCGTCTCTCTTCTGAAAAAACGGCGCGCGGACTTTCGACTCTTCCAGAAAAGGGGGGTGGAAGGCTTATCGCTCACCTGCCCCAAGGCTTAGCCACGTGGACTGGGGCTGTGCCCCGTGCTTGGTGGGAGCCCCCAGCAGACGCTCTGAGGAGCAGAGTCAATTGGGGACAATATTCCTATTGTGTACTTGTCCCCCGGACACCTGGAGCTCACCCACGGCCTCCTGTCCGTAACCGAGAATACCACACACACAGACCTTGTGCTGGATGCTGGCCCGTGGTGGCCCGGAGCGGGAGGTCTGGGGGCTGCAAATCCCGCCTCCGCCGTGCGCCTCCCGGCAGCAGGGCTCCAGGCAGGCAGAGGCCGTCCAACAATCCGGCCGAACCTGGACAACAGCGGCTGCGGCGGGGCCAGGGAAGGCTGGGGTGGGGGAGGGGGAAGAGAGGAGGGGACGCCAGCGTCACAGGGTCCAGAGGACTGCCCCCCTGGGCGGCGGCTCAGCCTTAGTCGTCCTCCCGGCACATGGGCAAGTTGACGAAGGTGAAGACGTTGAACTCGATCATGATGGAGAAGCACAGGAAGATGGCGTACAGAACCAGCACGTAGATGCCCAGTTTCCGGTCCAGCCTCCATTTGTTCAAGTGGATGCCCAGGACCTGGGGGGAGAGCGTGAGAGCTGGGCTTGGGGGCTGTTAAGGGCTGAACTGCATCTCGACGCCCCCTCGGTGGAGTCTCTGTGGATGCTTGTAGTGGGGGGAGGGGAGTGGTCATCCCCCGGGGGAGCAGGGGTTTCTTTGCTCAGTGAATGAGGCCCTAGCAGTGGCAGTGGGCCCTGCGCTTCATCACTTCCGAGGCTGGAGGAGAGATCAGTAGCCCACAGCAGCCGGGAGGGCAGCTGCCACATGGAGATCGCCTGGGTACGGGAGTGCCCGTGCTGTGGAAGCCAAGATGAGGGTCCCGCAGACGGTTCACACGGAGAACCATCCCCTGACACAGGCCCCAACTTCGGACTTCTAGCCTCCGGCAGGGCAAGGGAATACATTCCTGTACTTTAAATCTCACCACTGGGGGTGTTCGTGCGACACACACCCAGGAAACCCAGACAGCAGCAAAGAAACCTAACAGGCTCTTTTTTTTTTTTTTTTT